CCTATTGACTTTGCTTGTAAAAAAAGGTTGTAGCAAAAGGTGATCATATGACCCAGGACACTGCAGCTAATATAAATATATGCCAGTTGCCAAGCAACTTTTGATTACATGACTGTGAGGATGCTGTAACAGTTGGATGAAAAATGGTCATAAATAACTTTTTCCAGTGTCACTATAACTTCAAATGGTCACTAATGAATGGTTGCCAGTTGAGGACTACCTGTATAGTATCCGCACTGCCACTTCAATTGTAACCTGTTTTGGTCACCACACTAAAACAATGAAGCTGGAGAAAATGGAAACAGTATAGTGACGAATGATAAAAATGGTGAAGGACTTCAAGGCTAAATTTTATCAAGAATGGGTAAAGGAACTAGGTATGCTTAACTCAAAGAAGTAAAGGCCGAGGACAACCTGATAAAAGTGTTCTAATAGTTTTCCCGTGTCACAGGAGGTATGGATTTGTTCTCTATAACTTCTATGGGTTTGACCAGAAATAATAAATTGAAACTTTAGAGCAGACATGTCAAACTTGCGACGTCATGTGACGTCACATGATGTATTGGAACTTTTCCCCCCTTGCCGTCAATAGGGTGGGTGCAGTTTCATGACATGTTGGTTTGTGGGCCAGCAGTTTGACACCCCCCTGCTTTAGAGGAAATCCAAGTTTGAAGTAACAAGAACATTTCTGATCATAAAAACTAAGTAATAAAACAATTTCCCTCCTAGAATCATAGGCGTTTCCACACTGGAAGATTTCAAATAGGTAATAATTGGACAACAATCTTGATGAAGATTCCTGTTCTGGACAACGAGCTAGTGTCCTGTCTCAGTTTTTTTATTGCTGACTCACACAAAGTTGTTATAGTAAATCACAGTTTACTGAAAGTCAAGAGATAACAGCATGCAAACCAAACAGTCTCAGATAGTTGCCTGAACAATATGTTGTCAAATAGGAATGTTCAAAAGAATAGTCCAACTGCAGTCCAAATTTCCAAGGACTGAGCCGGAGTTGTCAGTTCAGTTTCTAATATGAACAGGATTCGCATCATGCAAGAGCCGAGATCAGACATTGTTTCCAGTAAAGAGAAAATGGATCAGAGCTGCTTATTAAATCAGGCTGTAGCCAGCTGTCATCAATCAAGAGATTTACTCTCTTGCTTGGCAAGAAGCCTAATAGAACAACGTTGCTGTGCTCTTCACTCATCCAGGTGTGGGAGCCAGAGGCCTAACGTCATTAAAATTATCTGATGGTTCCAGCTGCTTCTAAGTTTAAACAGCCTCAAGTGATTCTTGGCTTTACGTCTCCTAAGATCCATAGGTTCTACTGAAGCCTCTTCTTCAGTGTCTGATCAGTTTGAGTCCTGGGCCGTGATAGTTAGATTAGACTACCTGTGTACTTGATTGGCTTGTATTATGAGAATTGTGGAGTTCTGTGGAGCAAAAGGACAATGAAGAGGATGGAGATAAGGGTTTGAAAATGAACTTCTTGGTGGTGGCCCTCACAATATAGGTCAGGGGTCTTCAAACTTGGCCCTTTTATGACTTGTGGACTTCAACTCCCAGAATTCCTCAGCCAGGCACACTGGCTGAGGAATTCTGGGAGTTGAAATCCACAAGTCATAAAAGGGCCAAGTTTGAAGACCCCTGATATAGAAGAACCTGAGGAGTCCTTGGTGCTCTCTGAACTTGCTTGTTTTCTTGCAAATGTTTCATTACCCTAACTAGGTAACATCATCAGTGCCAGTGATGTTACTAGCACTGATGATGTTACCTAGTTAGGGTAATGAAATGTCTGCATGAAAATAAGCAAGCTCAGAGAGCACCAAGGACCCTTCATTTCAACCCTGAGTAAAAAATATTCTCCTTCATTGATAGAAGAACCTGCTCTTTCAACCTATCCTTTCAACCTTTCAGCCTTTCACAAAGTTTTCAAGACCATTTTATTCTGGATAGCATTTGGGCCTTGATAGTAACAGGGCTTCCTTTTTCAAATGTTTTTGACAGACTCTTCAGTCAGTAATTTTCATTCATAGGACATAGAATAATAGAGTTGGAAGGAACCTTGGAAGTCTTCTAGTCCAACCCTCTTCTTGAGCAGGAGAGAAACCGTATACTATTTCAGAGAAATGGTCCAGTCTTTTTTTTGAAGCCTCCAGTGATGGAGCACCCACAACTTCTGAAGGCCAGCTATTCCATTGGTTGATTGTTCTCACAGTTAGGAAAATTCTCCTTAGTTCTAAGTTGCTTCTCTCCTTGGTTAGTTTGCCTCCATTGTTTCTTGTCTTTCCTTTTGATGCTTTGGAAAATAGGTTGACCCCCCTCGTCTTTGTGGTAGCCCCTCAAATATTTTTCCTTCCATTTTCGGTTTGGAGTAGGAAGATGCAAGAGAGGTAGAATTTTGTGTAAAGTTCTTTTGATTGTGTACACTGCCTATAGTCTTTGAAGAAGTAGTATGAAGACTTTTGTACAAGAAGATAATTATGTTCTTTCTTGACTGATGGATTATGTGCCATCTAATTAAGGTCAGTTCTTAGTGAACACATAAATATATTTTCTTCAGGAGAATTTCTCCCCACTTTGGTTTTTCAGATCTTTCAAAGATGCACCCATTACTGTTATAATTGAGTCCAGATAATTTTCTTAGATATATTCAAATTTCAGATTTTTTTGGTATGCTCCATTGTGTACTTCACTGTATTTCTATATCCCTAGCAGATGGTTATTCTGTTTTTTCTTCATTTTCAGCAAATAAACCCTGCTGTCAAATAATGTTTATCATTATGAAATTTCTTCTAATCTTTACCCCATATCTGTTGTCCTTACCAATACTATTATTTGACTAGAATGACATATTGCACTAGATTATTATTTGTTAAAGCATGATTTGGAATAAAATGAAACTGGCAGGTTTCACATAATCTGACAGATAAAATCTAGAGAAAAAATTGTGAGAGTTTGGTATATTACATCATGCAAGAACACTGTTTCTTTTCCCCGGAGCAATTTCTGATGCATCTCTGCAAGAATTCCTGTAATTTATTCAAAAATAATTATTAAATACTTTCTTAATCAAAACTTTTCCCAATTAAACAGAGCAAGCTTTTTTTTCCTGAGCATTTATCAGAACCATCTGGGATAACTTGTGCTACTGTGATCCAAATTTTTCTGATTATTATTGTGGTTTGTCACACAGTCAGTAGTTTAGACCAGATGTTGCAATTTTGTCTGCTTATCAAGTCCTTCCCAAGGTTAATATGTTGTGGTGTTAGAGGTATTGTCGCAGGATGTAAGCTGTCTTTTGCAATTGACTGATGGTGGATTGTCAATGTCAGTGATGCTCCAATTTAATTATTAAATTTGCTTGCTGCCCATCTTACTGCAAGACAACTTTGGGCAGCTTTCAGCCTCAAAATAAAGGCCCACACACACATACACACAAACACACATATATGTATGTATGTATGTATGTATGTATGTATGTATGTATGTATGAAATCACAATAAGATAATAATGAAAGTACAAATTGTAACTAAAACTAAAAGGTGGAGAGGAAAGAAGCAAAATGTATGTGGGGGAGGTGGGAGCTCATATTAATGTATCTGGTTTTAATCTTAGACTTTAATTCTTTTTAGTTGAATTATATCTTGAGGAATGGTATTATTGCAAAATCTCATTGGTTGAAAGGCTGAATATTATTATACTGATATGTGAAAATTGTTTCCAGTTGAAAGTTTCAGGTATGAAGAATCAGGACCACACATTAAGTTCCAGTTAAGCTGATTTATTGCTCATGAATCTACACAAGAATTTAGTCAACTCTTGGTCAACACTAAATAGGTGCTAGATAAGAGTTAACAGAATTCAAGAGGGCTGGACTTGGATTGCTTGTGGCAACATAATGACTCCAGACTAATTCCTCTCTTGACTCCCCCCCATTGTGTGTGGTCTTCTGCTTTCAGAAGGCAGTTCTAAATTTGCCAAAGCAACAAATAAAAATTAAAAATAAATACTGATTTATAATATTATTTTATTTTGTTGTAACCTGTCAAAACTGTCATGATGAAATGGGTGGCATATACACTTAATTAATAAATATGCGCATTTGTGTATATATATAATAATAATAGTAAAGTTGGAAGGGACCTTGGAGGTCATCTAGTCCAACCCCCTGCTCAGGCAGGAAACCCTATACCATTTCGGACAAATGGCTGTCCAGTCTCTTCTCAAAAACCTCCAGTGTTGGAGCATTCACTGCTTCTGGAGGCAGGTTGTTCCACTGGTTAATTGTTCTAACTGTCAGGAAGTTTCTCCTTAGTTCTGGGTTGCTTCTCTCCTTGATTAGTTTCCACCCATTGCTTCTTGTCCTGCCTTCAAATGCCTTGGAAAATAGCTTGACTCCCTCTTCTTTGGGGCAGCCTGTGAGATATTGGAACACTGCTATCATGTCCCCCCTCATCCTTCTCTTCATTAAACTAGACATACCTAATTCCAGCAACCGTTCCTTATATGCTTTAGCCTCCAGTCCCCTAATCATCTTTGTTACTCTTCACTGTACTCTTTCTAGAGTCTCAACAACTTTTTTACATCGCGATGACCAAAACTGGATGCAGTATTCCAAGTGTGGCCTTACCAAGGCATTGTAAAGTGGTATTAACACTTCACGTGATCTTGATTCTATCCCTCTGTTAATGCAGCTGCAGCGTACTGCTGGCTCATATTTAGGTGATTGTCCACTAGGACTCCGAGGTCCCGCTCACAGTTACTACTATTGAGCAAGGTACCCCCTATATTATACCTGTGCATTTGGTTTTTCTTTCCTAAATGTAGAACCTTGCTTTTTTCACCATTGAATTTCATTTTGTTAGATAGCGCCCAGTGTTCAAGTCTATCCAGATCCTTCTGTATCTTAAGCCTGTCTTCTGGCGTGTGGCTATTATGTACCTTTTAGATTTATATATAGTCTTCCTTAATTTTAATTATCTTTTCCTTTCTGCAGGTCCACTGAGGTTTCTGTCCCAGACAGACTCTGTCACAGCATTTGCAGGTGACACCGTTTTATTAAAGTGTGAAGTTGTTGGTGAACCTATGCCTACAGTCCATTGGCAGAGGAACCAAGAAGATCTACTTCTGAATCCTGGTGACACTCGAGTAGCTATTTTGCCTTCTGGATCTTTACAAATCAGTCGAATTCAAGTAGGGGACAGTGGAATCTATAGATGCCTTGCCAAAAATCCTGCCAGTTCAAGGACTGGAAACGAAGCAGAAGTCCGAGTTTTATCAGGTAAGTTATGTGTCCCTCTTATTTCTTTCCCTCTTTTGTGGAACAATTCAGGACAATTCTGCTCTGTCCTCTGCATGACAGCTCTTGGGCATTTGAAGAAAGTGCTCATACATTCTTCTCTTCCCAAGGCTAAACACACCCAGTACTTCCAACTATTCCTCATAAGATTTTCTTTCCTTATCATCTTGGTTGCTCACCTGTCCATAATAACAGAGATGGAAGGGAGCTTGAAGATCTTCTAGTCTAGCTCCCTGCTCAAGCAGAAGACAAGTGACTGTCCCATCTCTTCTTAAAAGCCTCCAGTGATGGAGCACCCATAACTGCTGATTAATTGTTCCCACTGTTAGAAAATTTCTCCTTAATTTTAGGTTGCTTCTCTCCTTGATTAGTTTCCATAAATTGTTTATTTTCTTGCCTTCTTGTGCTTCGGAGAATAGGTTGACCCCTCTCCCCTCTTCTTTGTGGCAACCCCTCAAATATTGGAAAACTGCTATCATGTCACCCCTAGTCCTTCTTCTCACCTTCAACATTTATAGTGCCTAAAACGCAATGCCTGGAACTGGATCAGTCTTCTTGATCTTCTAGAGCAATATTTTGTAACCTTGGCAACTTTAAGATGTGTAGACTTCAGCTGCCAGAATTGACTCTACACATCCTAACGTTGCCAAGTTTGAAAAACACTGCTCTGTGGGAATAGTTTTCTAAACTACCAGGCATTACAATGTTATGAACTTGAGGGCTGAGTGAATTAATATCTGCTTTTAAATTGATGCACACAAAGCTTCAGTCTCTTTTGTGGCTAAATTTCTATTTGAAGTACCAAATTAATGTCCTTCACTTTTAAAAAGCAGCATGCTTTGTATTTTATATTGAAATATGTTTATTTTGAGCCAAAAATCAGAAGTCTGATAGTACCTTTTCTGACTAGCATATTTTATTAAAAGGCACAAGCTTTGGTAAGCTACTGTGGTCTTCTCAAGTCAACTATGCACAAATGGAAACATGCTTTTCTAGAAAATTAATAAAATAAAATAAAATAAAATCTGATCTTTCAATGGCAATCTTTTGACTTGTCACATGATGTCATGCATTGATCCTGGATAAATATATATGAAATTAATTATAGTTATATTTCAGGTTGTGTCCATTGTTGAAAGTTGTGTTGGAAAAATATTAAGTAGTAAAGTAATATACAAATTGCACTCGCATTAACATATGCAAAAATGACTCAAGGCAGAAATAGATTGATTCATTTATCTCTAGCAAGTGATGCTTTGAGCTGCTTCACATTCCTGTTAAGAACCAAATGCATAAAGAACACCACAATCTATTTGGTGCAGATAAGTGTGGAACATATTATTTTTTCATGTAGAAGATAATGTGCAATTACAAAGTGTTTAGATATACATTATGCAGCATGTTATTGCTGAATGTCCCATGTGCTATGGCTTAATTCTGCATTGAAAAATGTTCTTGCTAAGACAACTATTTTTTTATACCTGCCCTTGTTGGGCAATTGCTTCATTTTATTTAGTTGTGATTTTATTTCTGCTTTAACTATCAGTGAGTTTCATTGTTCATTTTTGCATTTTATAAATCACTTTCTTTTGGGAGTGCAACTTCAGCAGGAAAAATGCCCTAAATAAACAGACTTTTGAAATTACTGTAATAAACAACCCATATATAGTACATGCTGAATTCTACCATACATTGCTTTCTTTTAGGGTAAGCATATACTTATATAGAACTATGCAACTTTAGAATTGTCATATTTGCATGTGTGTGTATGTGGCTGCATGTATTTGAAATGATTCACACTGAAGCAGAAAATAAATGTTTGGTGGAGTGAGTGGTTGTTGTGTGGAAAAGTTGGTTAGAAGACACAATGCTTAGGAATGTAGGACACCAGAAGAGGTTATTTATCAGTTAATTCACGTCAGAGCATGCACAGTTTTATTGCACTGAGATAACCCAGGAGAAAGCACAGTAAACAATAGTCTATATTAAATGGTGGTTTATCATATACTATCTACAACAGACATGTCAAACACAAGGCCCGGGGGCCGGATGCGGCCCACAAAGTGGTTTCACGTGGCCCGCAAAGCCATCCTGGAAACAGTGAGGGAACGCCCCCCACTGCCTTGGCCCTGGCCCAGGCCAGCTGGGAGCCAATGTACAATTGTGTGGTGGCCATCTATGCTGAAACACATTCAGTCTTAGCTCCACAAGGCCATCTAGAAATAGCAAGGAACCAGCCCCTGCCATGTCGGCCCCGCCCCCTGGGTGCATGCTGGGGAGGTGTCATCCTTTATGAGGAATGAAGAAATGGACCATGCCTTGGTGCTTGCCCGGGTCCCACCACCTTCTGCCAGAGACCCTCAGATCTGTCCCACTCCTGCCCAGGCCCCTAGAAGCACCCTTGACATGAACAATGTAGAGCTGGCCACGCCCACCCAGTAGGCCACATCCACCCTGGCCATACCCACCTGGCCCCCGAGGGCAACTGCAATGCTGATGGGCCCTCAATGAAATTTAGTTTGACACCTCTGATCTACAATATCATACACCAGGGACAATATATATACACGTGTTAATACAGCAATCTCCAACACACAGCAGTTACAGCAGGAAACAGAAGAGAGGAGCACACATCTGCGGAGCCTTCCCTTTTATATAGAGGCTCTTAAAGAGACATAGACCCTGCTGAGTCATTCCCAACATTACATCATACATCTCACATTACATCAGCTGGTTAGCTTCTAAATCATTTCCTTAATAGTTCATTACTGTGTTCTCTGACTGGATGTCTCCAGATTGTTGCTTGATACTTTGATCTGGGCTGAGCTTGGACCATCTGCATGAAGAGTCTGAGCATTGTTTTCTGAACACTGCTCTCTTAGTAATTCTTTGCTTCAGAATTACCTGGTTGATTCTGGAGATTCTCAGTCATCCAGGTCATGGTTGTCTCAATGATGAACTGATGAACCGTCTTGGATGAGAAGTGAAATGTCTTCTTCCTCAAAAAAAAAAAAACAGTTTTCTTTTGAAAAAAGCATCTTTGAGAGATTACCTGGTTGAGCTTTCCATTTTAAGGACACCATCTATAACTCCATCCTACCCATCTTTATGGTGCTAGATCAAGAAGATGGTACAGATGTGCCCTCAGCCTCCATGAAGTGATAGGTTTGTTATGAAGACAAATGACCTATCAGGTGAAAAGACCATTACATACTAAAAATTCTGTAAAAAATATTAGTTGTGGTTGCAACATTGGAAAATGAAATGGATGCTTATGTACTTCCTAAAGAGCCAAGAAAAAGTGAACCAAAGAAAGAGGACCCAAAAAAAAATTCACAGCTGACTTCCAGACTGATCAGGCCTATATGAGATTTGTGTCTGGGAGGACCCATCTATTAGCAACACAGAATATTGTGATGCACAGCCATCTCCTGGTTCACGAGTTGGAGAGGACAAAGGACACATTTAGCTTTTGTGGGGCTTTCCAAGGATCAATTTAAAAAAAAATTAAGAACTAAGACAAAGGAGAGTTTTGATTTATAGGTAATCGTCAATGAATATGTAAAGCATTGCATGTTTCAATGGGCAAGGAACTTTGGATATAATGTAATGCTTGAACAATGAGAGAAGATGTGAACAAAAGGTTTAAAATTTACACTAAATTATAATTTAAAAGAAAAATTTTATAAGGTGATTTATCCCCGGTATTTAACACCAGACAAGCTGTCAAGAAAGTACAAAGATATTTCAAATGAATGTTGGAAATGCAAAAGTAAAGAAGGGATCTTTTATCACTTATGGTGGACATGTGATAAAGCAGAGAAATATTGGAGTAGGATTCACATCCTAATACAGAAAATTATCAAAGTGAATATAAAGATAAAATCAGAAACTTTTCTTTGCCCAAAAATGAAATGGCTCTTTGATTCCCACAATGGATGAATGGCTGCAAAAGTTGATGGAGTTAGCAAAGATGGGTAAACTGACTGCTTTGACATATATATATATATATATATATATATATATATATATATATATATATATATATATATATATATATATATTTCACCATTGAATTTGCTTGTTGGAAGACAGCTGGGAAGGTTGCAGATGGAGATCACATAAACTCAGGATGCTGCAGCCATCCTGAACACATGCCAGTTGCCAAACATTTTGATTTCTTTAATTTAAAATGCACCTGATTTCTTCAAATCTTGGGAAGCATAATTTTGAGCAGACAATCGGAGCAAAATTTCAAAATTTGATAGAAACAGCCAAAGTGCCTGGATGGATCTCAGCCTTCCACTCCGAAAGAACAGGTGTGTGCAAAAGACAAGTAAACCATCTGTGGTTAGTAAACAGAAAAATACTCAGATTCACCAGTGTTGTAGTTCAGAAAAACAAAGAAAAGCTTTTTAAAACTGATGACAATAAGCTTCATACAAATAAACAATAGAAGCTTAGAATTGTTCATGTGAAAGTTTTCATTCTTCACTTTTCCATAATAACCTTGCATTCAGTTACTATTTAACTTCAACCTGTAATCTAGCAAGGGAAAATGTCCTTCCTTCCTTCCTTCCTTCCTTCCTTCCTTCCTTCCTTCCTTCCTTCCTTCCTTCCTTCCTTCCTTCCTTCCTTCCTTCCTTCCTTCTCTCCCTCCCTCCCTTGTATTAGAATGCTAATACAATTCCAAGGCAATCAGTGGTGGAAAAATGAAGAAAATCTTGTTAACTTATTTATTGTTTAACATTCAAGAGCCAATTAGCTTTTTAGATGATTCAGTTCTATGGATAAATTGAACGTGGCTGTGTGTGAAGTTATAAAAAAATAACTGTAAGGCAGCATTGAAAAAAATTGGTACTCTGTCATTAAAACAAAGCAAGACACAACAGGCTTTGCTTTTAAAAGCCTGATGGTTGTTAAGCAACGGCTACATAAAAAAAAAAAGTAGAAATTAAAACGTCACACCTCCTTAAGCACCA